CCATCCGAGGAAGGCAGGGAGGGAGGAGATCGGCTGGGGACCCCATATGCAAGACATACAACCAGAATTTTGTCTCTTGTATTTTGGATATGTTGTCAGGAATGACTAGTCCCTAGAGGACATCATGCTTGGTAAAGTAGAGGGTCAGTGAAAAAAACCAAGACTCCAACGAGATGAATTAACACAGTAGCAGCAACAAAGGCCTCAAATATAAAGATTGTGAGGCTGGTACAGGACCAGGCACTGTTTTGGTTCCATTGTGCATAGTGTTGCTATGAATTGAAATGGACTCAATGGCACCTAATGACAACAACAATGTTCATTTTGACCTCTTCTGACAGATTTTGTCTTAAAGCTACTTTGTCTGATATGATTGCCACCTTTATTCTGTTTTTGGCCATTATTTACATGGAATATTGTTATTTTAGCCTTTTAACTTCAACTTATTGTGTCCTCGAGTTTAAGTTGTGTCTTGTGTAAACATTGTTGGGTCATGGTTTTTAATCCATTCTGCCACTCTTTCCCACCCCTTTTTCTTTTTTGCTCTCTCCTTTTTGATTGGAACATTTAGTCCATTTACATTCACTGTAGTTACTGAGAGGAGCACTGGTTGTGCAGTGGGTGAGGTGTTGGGCGGTTCTAACCCACTAGCAATGTTGTCCCATAATTCTATTAGACTGTGTTCAGTCTTCTCGAGCCTTGGTTCTTGTTGTTCATCAGCATGTGTAATGTTAACTATCTTATACTCTAATACCCCAATTCTTTCTTTTGCTTAGTTAAGTCTGTTGACAAATCCTTCTATTGTGTTTCTCATTTCAGTTATTGTCTCTTTCAGTTGCAGTATCTTTTTACAGATCCTCATTTTCTTCTTGCATTGTTTTCCTTATTTCTTTTAGCTTTTGGTTTGCTTTCCTTTAGTTCTTTACTTATATTTAACGTTTCTGTATTATAGTCTTCCTATTCATTATTTGTGAAATCATGTGCTGTCATTCCCTTTGACATGTTCATTTGGAGAAGCACAAAAAAGGAAGTGGCATATAGCTAAATGTCAATGATGCCTCACTCGTGTCCCCTCAACCTTTTTTAGCCACCTGACTACCCGGACTTGTCCTATAACTATGGACGTATTTTTCTTTTTGGTCTCTTTTCTTTTCTGACATTCCTTTGAATTATTCCTTTGAGTTTAGTATAGATCATCATGGATGGATTCCTGGTTTACTGCAGCAACAATCCCACCTTACAGAATAATGTCTGAAGATGATCCAACAAACACAATAGTGGATGCTGCCAATGTGATGGTTCAGTCAGGCTGGGAGATCAAGGTTGGTCAGTCCAGCCCTGCCCTAAAACTCCAGAAACTTCTGTTCTCAGGGCACTTCTCTCCAAATCTCAGGGCCAACAGCAACATCTCCATAACCTACAATTACTTGGTGGTCAAATTTGGAGATGCTTCCTAATCTAACTTGCTACAGAATCGCAAAATACAGCACAACAGCCACAGCAGAGAAACTGAAAAGCTTAAATCCAGTCTCTACAATAGGAACCCAGTAATATTTCTAATGAGAAATCACATGATCAAGGCCCTGGTTGAAATCTGTTAATGTCACAGTACACATCCCTTTGTGTGGTTTATTAGAGCCTGAAATGATCTGTCCTCCACCTTTATCCATCCTAATTCCCCACTTCATCTTTCTTGACCACTAACTTTCCTCTGCCACGTGATGTTCAGGTGTTTTTTTTTTTTACAGTATCTTCCCATATTATATCTATCTATCTATCTATACATATATTTTTGCTGCTGCAAACTCTTGCATAGTATTTCCCAGTGTCTGGCTCTAGCAATATATGTGTGCAAATTCTTGGAATTTGATAGTTTCTTGATGAATCAATCGTATAAAATTAAATTTCGCTTTGTTGATTGATCTGCTATCATGCTATGTCTACACGGGTAGACTTATTTGCACCAACCATGCAATCAATATTAGGTGGCTTCAAAAAGTTTGTGAAAAAAATGGAATTAAATGAGAATGGAATTTTCCCATGAAATTTCTGAAGCCCTTGTATATATTTGGGAATGTCAAACCTAAAGCATAGGCTCTATGGAAGTTATTGTTATTAATTTTGGACAGTTCTCGAATTTACAACAGAAGACACAAATTATCATTTTCCAGAACAGTTAAATTAAAGTTGGCTTCAGGAAACAGGCAGACGTGGACATGCGGCACTGGATAGAGAAAACAGACTTTTCAGTTTTGTGATTGAGAGTTAAATTGAGTTTCTATGAGCAGGCCATTTAATTAGGAGCAAGACTCCATTGTTGTTGTAGGTTCTGTAGTTGAGTCTCCAAGAGCTACTTCTCCCATGGGGACTCTCTGAAGCAGCAGAAGAATTTACTTATACTTAGCCATCTTTAAAGATCCTCCCACATAATGCTGGATTGGACAGCCAGGAAACCGAAAACATAAGCAGGGAGACTCTACACTCACTACTTTTGGAAACCAACAATTCTTATAATCAAGAACACACATTCTTGATGATATAATCTGTATTTCAAATACCAGTACGCATCTTCTAAGTCACAAAGAATTTGTGGATGTGATCAAAAGATGAAAGGCAGGGTCAGCACTGTCACTACCTGGTTGAGGACCCTAGGGTTCCCAAGTTACCAGACTCTCCTCTCCCTGTTTACCTGAGAAGTTGCTATGCATGTAAAACGGCTGGTTGTTGAAAACACATATTGAAAGGTTACTGAAAAGAATAAATGAAAAGTACCACAATGTATGAATTGTGTTCTTCCTAAATGAAAGTGCTTTGGGTTGAGCTCGGAACGCCTGCCCCCAGTGGTGAGCCAGCCCTGGCTACAATCAGTCACGCCCAAAGTCCAGAGCCTGAGCGGCGCCCGTACTGCCGGGCCTCCCAGCCCAGGGAGCCCGGTGGAGGCTGCTTCGTCAGCGGTGCCCCTCATCACCCCTGCTCGGTTCCAAAGTCGCGGTTGTAATCAAGAGCGCGGCTACGTGGGGCACAGCGCGTGGACATCCACGCGCACACACCAGCAGGGCCGCCGCTTCCTCTCCCCTCTGTAACTCCGTGGAATCTGTAAGGCTCCCAGGACGGTGACGGAGATGCCACCTTTCTCTTTGGCTTCAAACTGTAACCGCAGACCTGGACACATCCAGGGCAAAGAGGTTGAGCTGCATTCCCCTGGATGCCTGACTGATCACGAACTGCAGAGACACCATCTCTTAAGAAGAGCCATTATCGAAAACTCCTTATGCCCACATTCTTTTTAATTTGGACCACAACTCCAAGAAATGACAAGAATTCCTTGTCACACTGGAAGATAAGAAGGGACTTTTGCTGGACCAGAACATGTGACTAATCCCCAAAGGACAAAAACAAAAACTAAATACCATATATCTTGACTGATTAAGAGTGTCCAACCTGAAACACACGCAAGAGTGGACGGCTGTAAATGTTGAAATTCTGGACTCCTTGGACCAATGGTTATACATATATAACTCCGTCATTCCATTGCTGAATACATATCACAAAGATATTCTCCTATAGCGCTAAAGGGAAGATATAGGACTATTCTTTGTAACTTTATTGGTGTTGGTGACAATTTTAGGTAATGAGAGTTTTTGTTACTGGTAAAGCACATATTTCAAACACAGCAGATGCACCTGTGGATTATTAGGTAGCAATTGGAAATGTCAGATGAGATGCACTCATATCAACATGAATTAACCATAAAAACATAGTGCTGAATGAAAAAACAATAAGATGGAATACTACCCATTTGAATAATTGAAATACATGCATAAAAATAAGTCTCTAATTTCTGAGACTACCACTCATCTGTCAGCTTCTTGTACTGTGCAGGCTTGCATGTTGCTGTCATGCAGGAAGCTATGCCAGCTTGTATTTTAAATACCAGCAGGGTCACCACCCATAGTAGACAGATTTCAGCAGAGCTTCTAGACTAACACAGACTAGGAAGCAAAAAAAAAAAAAAAAGGCTGGCTATTTATAAATGCTTAGCCACTGAAAACCTTATGAATAGCAGCAGGACACTGTCATATAGAGTGCCAGAAGGTGAACTCTTCAGATTAGAAGACACTCAAAATACAACTGGGGAAGATCTACCTGCTCAAAGTTGAGTTGACCATAATGAGATGAATGAACAAAGCTTTCAGGACCTTTATTTGCTGATGGGGCACAAATCAAAATGAAGAGAAACAGCTGCAAACATCCATAATAATTAGAATATGGAATGTACTAAATATGATCCTAGGAAAATGGAAGTTGTCAAAAATGAAATGGAGTACATAAAGATCTATATCCTAGGAATTAGTAAACTGAAATGGACTGGCACTGGTCATTTTGACTCTGAAAATCAAATGGTTTGCTATGTGAAGAACTACAAATTAAATATGGCATTACATTCATTATCAAAAACAACATTTCAAGATCTCTTGAAATACAAATCTGCCTGTGATAGGATAATATCCATACACCTAGAAGGCAACTTGGTGTGGTGCTGCAAGATAATGTGCTGGTCCATAAGGTCAGTTTGAACCACAGGGTCACTATGAACGACCTATGGCACTTAACCACAATAACAACTACTACAGGTAAAATAAGAGTTTCTGCTCCTGCAAAGATGTACAGCCTTGGAAATCCTATATAGACTTGCTATGAGTCAGAACCAATTCATCAACACTTAACAACAACAGGTAAAGTATATAAATTTTAACAGCTCTCAGTAAAAAATACTAGAAATGGTATTTAGAGCTAATATGTTGAGAGGTCTTCAAAAGCAATGGGACTGTCTATAAATTACGCTAATTTCACTTTTCACAATGAAATGGTTTTCTTGAGTCAGCATTTAGAACACCATTTTATCAATATTAGGTCTATATCCCACCCAGGCAATGTGGGTTAATGCACTGAACTGCAAAGTCAGTTTGAAATGCAAGGTCAGTGGTTTAAGCTCACCAGTCTTTCTTCAGAAACCCTATGCAGGGTCGTTATAGGTTGGAACCGATTCGACGGCACTCAACAACAACAACATCCCGACCTAGAGAAATTGCCCATTCTTGAAATTTCTCTTGTATGTAAGAATTCCTTAACTTGAACTGACCAGATTTCAGTCTATGATAAATTCATTCTTAATTTTTCACACAGAAAAAAAAAAAACTACTGTATTTATCAATTTTAATCTTTAATAGTGGCATGGGGGGAAAGAAAACACCAAGATGGGCTTAATTCCAATGCATTTTCCAAGAAGCCTCTTGAACAAAATGAAGTTCTTCATTTAGCATTAAACTTTCCTCCTTTCTGAGGTCATGATGATTCTTTAGTATGTAGGAAAAGGGTCTCTTTCTGCAAAGAACCTGGGGTAAGTTATAGATTAGTAAACTGATCATCAGTATACTCTAAAATGACAAACTATGTAACTTTGAATAACATATAGGAAGGAATGCTAATAAGAATATTTTCATTAGTGAGATTTTAAAATAAAGCCCTGAGCTTGTTTACTTTTTAGTCTCCCTCTTTCCCCTCACTCCCGTTTCTCCCTTACCTCTATCTCCTCCTTCCTCTCTCCCTTTCTTCCTTTATTTTTTGTTTCATTAGGTTGGAAGCCAACGACCATGTCATATGACTAGATCATCTCCCAAACATGGACTAATTAAATAAGAACATACAATTTTCTGCTCAAACTCAATACTTACCAGTTTAAAATTTGTCTTGTTGAGCAGAAAATTGTATGTTCTTATAAATTCCATCTATGTTCTTTCTCTTTTCCTATCATTCAGAGAGCTGAAGTAAGAGTTAGACTTTTGAGTATGTATTTGTGTGTACTTGGTATGGTTTTTCTGCTTGTTTATTTTGTTTTGGCTAGAACTGTGATTCTTATTTAAAATCTGAGTTTGAATACTTTTAGAGGGAACTTCAGCTCCTCAATTTACTATTTGCCCACTACTTCCTAATCTTATAAATTTTGTCCTTTACCTGAACGTTAATTTCCTTCAGTGCCTATTCTGTTCCTTGAGTTTCATGTGCTGTTGATGCTAGATGCCATTGAGTTGGTTCTAACTCATAGCAACCCTATTTACAACCGAACAAAACACTGCTTTGTTGTGCACCATCCTCAAAATAGGTGTTATATTTGATTCATTGTTCCAATCACTGTGTCAGTCTATCTCTTTGAGGGTGTTCCTCTTTTTTGCTCTTCCTCCACTCTACCAAGCATGATGTCCTTCTCCAGGGACCGTTCTCTGCTGAAAGCATGTCCAAAGTACATAAGGTGAAGTATTACCATCCTCACTTCTGAGGAGCATACATACTGGCAGCACTTCCTCCAACATAGATTTGTTCATTCTTCTGGCAATCCATTCTTCCAACACACCATAATTCAATAGCATTAATTCTTCCTTAGTCTTCCTTATTTATTGTTCATTTTTCACAACAATATGAGATGATTGAAAATACCATGGCTTGGGTCAGGACCAACTAAGTATTCAGTGACATCCTTTTGATGCTGTTGTTATTGTTAGGTGCTGTTGAGTTGACTCCAACTCATAGCAACCCGACAAATAACAGAACAAAACACTGCCCAGCTCTGCACCACCTTCATAATTGTTGTTATGTTTGAGTCCATTGCAGCCACTGGGTTAATCTATCTCTTTGAGGATCATTGTCTTTTTTGCTGACTCTCTACCAAGCATGATATTCCAAATTATGGAAGATAAAGTCTTGTCATCCTCACTTCTAAGAAAAGAAAAATACATCATTTTTAAACAAAATTTCCTTGCTTTTCAATATACTTTGTCCATCTGTCAAAGTTTGTATTCCCTTATTAAAAAATGTTTTAGGCTGAGCTGTGAGCTCTGTCTGTACCTCTGTCTTTACCTCACCAGAAGTGAATCTTGTCCTCAAAGAGCTGCTTTCAGGGGACCAAACATGTGAAAGTCCCATGGAGCAAGATCAGGACGATAGGGGGAGCATGCTTTAACACCACAAAAGGATGTTTTTGCAGAGTGTCAACAGGGTGGGCAGAGGTGTGTGGATGTGCATTGTCATGCAAGATCACAATGCTCTTGGATAGCAGTTCTCTGCATTTAATTTGAAGTTTAGGTTTCAGCTCTTAAGTGAGCATCTCACTGTAATGAGCATTGTTTATTGTTGAACACTTTCCTGATAGTGTTCCAATACTGGCCCTTGTGAATCCCAGAAAACCGTTAAGTATAAATTTTCCAGCTGATGGTTGAATTCTGAACTTCTTCTTGGT